TTAAAATAATTTATCTTTCATGTTTCTGAAGCCTCCTTTGAATCTAGGACAAGAAAAGCACTTGGCATCTTGTTAAGTGTTCGTGAATAATATCCACAATAACTCACTAGTTGGACCTATCATTTGGGACCCTGAAATCCAGTGCCATCCTCAGAACTTAAACCGAATACAAATGGATTGAATGTGGGGGATAGATCATTTCAGGAACCTGCAAACAAGCTCCTGAAAGAAGTTCCTGTGCCCTCAAGGGATGTGGGTCCAACTTCGAAAAAAAGATAAAGATGACACTATGAGAGAAATATTTGCCCTCTCCAAAACTCATTTTAAAATTTAATAGCCATTGTAATCATATTAAGAGTTAAGACTTAAAGAGGTATTAGGTCATGAGGGCTCCACCCTCATGCCTGGACTTGGTGTCATTATAAAAGGGTAAGTTCACCTGCCCCCAACCTCCTACCTTGCCCCGCTCACCCTCTCATTGTCTTCGAGCTATTCTGCCATGTGAGGAACAGTGCTCTTCCCCTCTGTTGGATGCAGTGTTCGAGGCACTGTCTTAGAAGTAGACACCAGGACTTTACTAGACACCAAACCTGCTGGCACCTTGATCTGAGACTTTCCAATCTTCATCACTATAAGAAATAAATTTCTGTTCTTTATAAATGACCCCATCTTGGGTATGCTGTAACAGCAGCACAAAACAAACCAAAACAGACAAATTTTTCACCCAGGTAATCTAGAGTCACCAACTGACAGCACGATTACTGAAAGGTCAAGTATGCCCAACTAATGCGATCCTACTGAGAAAAAGAAGATAAAATCATAAACTTTAAAACTAAAAATTCTTCCTCCTTGAGACACATGAAAGGCTAAAAAGTCTGTGCCATGAAGCTCTGTTATGAAATGAACCTCAATCAGAAACCATTCTCCCCAGTAACGTATCACCAGCCCCCGCTGGGGGGCAGCCCTGAGACAAGCCCTAGCAGCACAGAGCTCCCTGTGCACTAGAACCTGACCACACAGCCTGGCAAAGGCCACCTCTTCCAAATACTAATTCCTAATATTTACTGCACTCGCAGGCAAGCACTTCACATCTATAACTTTATTTAAACTTCACAATAATCCATTGAGGCAGAGACTAGTTTATATTCATTTTATAGATGATGCCATTCCACACCCACTCTCAAGAATTTTTGGCTCGTGTAGAGATTAATGCCAACCATTTGTGCCGCTTTCCTTCCTGGTTCAAATCACAAATATGGATGTCATGAAGTGAAAAACAGGTAGGGATCTGAATATTCATGTCTTTATAGAGTCCTAACCACCCCAAACTACATGGCCTCTGGAGGTACTGAATCAGAAAGTAATCTGGAATCGAAGCCAAAACAAAAACAAAGCTATTACCTCCCACCAAATCTGAAGATTGGGGCCAGCCACTGGCATGTCTTGTTTCTGCAGACAGATTCTCAATACACATTTCCAGCCGCAGTGGTGGGACAGTTTAGAGCCTGCCTCAGAAAGCCAGCTATCAGAAGAGAGTGCTGGAAAGCATGGAAGAGAAATGGTTTCCAGAAGACTGGCACTGCACCAGGTCCATTTACTCCACACCCCGCTGTCTCTGCCAATCTGACCAGGTGAGAAGGAATCCTATTTCTTGCTTTTACATGTAGCATTCAAACATAGCTGCCTGCTGAAATCATCTGTAAAGGCTTAAAAAATTGCAATGACTTGACCACACCCCATACCAAATAAATGAGGTTCCTGGGACATGAGAATTCTTAAGGTGCTCCATTTCAATTTTTAAGAATTGAAATGTGCAGCTCATTGGAACTACCACTTTTATAGGATTGGTAACCCATCTCCTCATAACAAAGAAAAGTCATACCTTAGGGGGTTTGAAGTGACTATATGCTAGGCAGTTTAAAAAGTCCTCATCAAACTCTATGAGGCAGATAGAAAACCATACATTTCACATATGGGAAAGTGGGGGGCTGAGACAGACCTGGGATTACAGATACATTATTTTGTCTCCTCGGTTGCGGTTGCTCCTGGGGTGGGGGGGGGCGTCCTGACACTGGCAATCTTTCTGATCAGATAACACATTCCTTCTTTTAAAGGAAGGAGCAAGTAAGGGCTGGAGATACTGGAGGAGTTCATTCTAGTGTGTGTTTCTTGAGAACATAAATGAAACTGAGAAAGAAGACTGAGGGTCTCCAATGACTTCTGTAAAGATTTAGAGAAGATGTGGTAGGGAATATGAGTCAACAGTGAGACATGGATAGAACTGTCAAGCAGTTAAAAGTCAAACAGCATCATTTTCACAGAATCAGCTTCACAGTTTTGAAAAGCCAGTCTTGGTATCTTGATAGTGAAAACAAGAAAACCAGTCTATGAAGATAAGATGAAAGATTGGGAAGGAAGGCGCTATGGGAGACTATAGGAACAGGAGAATCAAAGATGCTTATGAGCATATGTGCCAACACGAGCTAAATGAAAAAATGAGAACAGAGGGCTGGCAGACTGGGAGGGGCTGGAAGGCTACAGGACAGGTGAGGTAAAGTTCACATGCTGAAACACTAACACTGAGTCAGGAGACAAAAGGTGAGACATCACCTAGTAACTCGGGAACTTCGGAAGGTGAAGACAAAACAAAAAGAATTCTCTCTCATTTCACATTTCAAAGTCTTGACACAGTCGGTAAAAGTAATGTAAATTGGATCTTGCCTTATACAAATTTAAAGTGTACAAATGTCTACATGTCAAATAATGCATTAATTTTGCTAATAATAAAAATTCTGCCACTAAAGAGAATTTAATGATTCTATGGTAACTTCTATAGGGCACATAATAATTCTGTGACTCTTTTTGCAATTTAGGATTTTCACATAATTAACTTGTAAGACATCAGTATCTATAAAGACCCTAGGGAAAATGCATCTCATTAAAATGAAGTATCAGAACACCTAATGAACAATAGAAAAGGAATTGCCACACACAGTGGTGTTTCCTGGTTTTATTCTTGTCATGGTGTGAATCTTTATTCCCTTATGAGAAGCAAGCTGAAAGGAGGACAGAAGGCTCCACCCATCTGTGCCAGGGCACAGCAGCATTAACAATTTGCATCGTTGGAGCTGCACCTATTGTTTTTTCAACTCCTCAGAAACTTCGGGAAGTATTACAGTAGACAAAACCAGGTCAATGCAACAGGTTGTTTTCATTTTTGGTGAAAGCTTATACGAGGGGAAAATATTAAAATGCCCTCATATTATGAATTTTATAATCAATTGAACATGACTGAATCTCTAAGTATTAACAGTGCTACTACACAATTTGGTAATGTTTCTAAAATGGAAAAACCACCAAATTCTGATTTGATTCGTTAGGTGGACATCTCATTCTTCTCAGTCATGTAACTAAACATCTAATTACTTCACTTTAAGTCATTTATCAAGTCTATCCTCCCTCAGAATACACACACACACACACACACACACACACACACACAAACACACAGCAATACTCATGAGTAAAACTTTAACATGTTACTAGATTGAGACCCTACTGTGTTATAATGCAGATAGTAGGCATACTCAATGTTATCTGAACAAATTCTTCTAGACTTATTTTGCCTTATTGTACTAATTTTGTGGTGGTTTTAGTTTGTTTTTTACTACCAGAGGATGTATGTGCTCACACAGAGCAGGGAGACCTCCTGTCCCCATAATTTACTTTGGCTGTTGCTTTCAAAGATTGAATGGAAAGAAGTTAATAGGATTTACTTTGCCACTGACTTTTATGTATTAGACCAACAATGGTTCAATATCAGCAATTTCATATAGTCCAACCTGATTAAAATAAGACACTGGAAAAAGGCTAATTTTCACACTGAATGAAACAATATGGCCCTATAGATTGCAAAGAAAGAAGTCTTTGCCGGAAAAGATGACCTCAGCTACTCTGCAAGGTGCTAAAAACACGATCTACAACACACGTTCTGCACCAGGAGTGCCATAGCTCCCTACATTCAGAGAGGCTGTAACTACAAAGTCCAATCCTGACTACTGCCACAGTACACATTAAAAACTGATTTTCAGGGACCAGCAGTTAGTGTAATGGCTATGTCACTGGACTCCCATGTAGTCGACCGCAGTTCGAGTCCTGGACCCGGTGGCTTAAACTCCACGCCGGACACGTGTGCGTGCGTGCCCAAGATCCCGAGAGGAGAATGGAGAAGGGATTGCAGCGTGGCCATCCCTCCTGGGGAGTGAGTTCTTGCTTTCTATCTCTCTGTCTCTCTCTGTCTTTCTGGCGAGTGCGCGCGCCCAATAAGAAAAACCTCTCCAAAAAAAGAAAAAAAAGAAAACCTGATTTTCACTGACAGTCATAGGTAACCGGGGTACAAAGAGGTGGGGACATTCTTTAAAATAACTACCAATACAAAAATGTCATGCTGTCAATAATCTTAAATTCCCAGAAGTATTTTTGTGTTTTTTCACTTAACCTAGCTCCTTCCACCTTCCACAGAAGGTGCTAAAGGCAATGAAATCCAAGAGTTAAGAACAGGTAGAGACCTGAGTGACGAGCCATTTCACAGGCGGTAACTGGGTACAGAGGGGTGCTGGGCTTTTTGTGCACCAGGAGCTTTGTGGCAATTATTTCTTTAAGTTAGAACACAAATATCCACAGTCATTAAATTACTTTACAGAAAATAAGCCACATAAAGTATGAGATCACAGTAGGGATCACAAAACTATTGTAGCCTAAAAACATGTTTTAAAATTCAGACATGTATTTTCTAAAGAGAGGATAGGGTCCCCACATTTCTCTGGACTATGAAACAGAGACCCAAATACAACAGTTAAGGACAGACCTATAAAGCAACAATGCATTTTCCAAAAACCACAGAGGTCCCCGGCCTGAACGCTTCTTTAACTTAAAGTGTTAAGATTTAAATGAATTCAGACACTCGTCACACAATTCTTTGAGTCTCATTTTTATTTTTTAAAAAAAGACAGATTTAGGATATGGTAAGAAATTACTAAGTTACATTTTTTTTTAAATCTGTCAAATGCTATAGCAATGGAATAAATAAATAAGATTCTTTAAAGTTCAATGTGTATAGACATATTTATAAAAAATGACTGAATTAGAAGACATTAAATAATGTTGATACACACCAGGAAGGAATTTAGGCAAGGAAAGGCACATCATTTCACCACAAGAAATAAAGACCACAGTTGAAGGTTAATGGACAGCCAAACCTTTAGATCTTGTGGTAGTTTTCCCAGTTCTGAAGGGTCATTATGGTAGAACCTTCTTTATGGTACTTAGCTGGAAAGGACAAAGAGCAGTTGGGGAATTTTACTCTGTGACCCTAAGGTGATGGTTTACCAAAAAAAAAAAAAAAAAAAACTCTCTTTTTATAAGCCTGGTGTCTAGGGAGGGTGCAAAAATCCAAAATGGTTTGATGGTATTGAAAATCCTATTAATTTCAATTTCAAAAAAAAAAAAAAGGAAATAATAAGATTAACTTCTGATCCGGCTGAATTAGAATTCTTATAAAGTTAAAATTTCAAGTAAACACTGCATTTTCACTTCTTTTCTTGTAGACAGACACAGTATAGACACATACAGCTGCCATATTTCACCTCGGACAAAATCATGTGCCAATGTGCCAAAGTTTAGGGAAAAGAGTCTTTAAGATAACTTCCCAATTCTATGGAGCTTAAATCTTTAAAACTGCTGCCTGATGGTTAACTATAAAAGTAAAGTGAACATAAAGTTTCGATAATGATGAGAGTTTTCCCAGAAAGATTCTAGCTGAAACAGAACAGTGATTCAACTTTCTACTGGGAAGTCTACCAGACATTAGCAAAACTTGTTTGAGATCAATTTCCTATTGCCAATTTTCTTTCACAAATTTGTGCCAGTTTCTTTCCATTTGTTTCTGTCTAGCCTCTGAACTGAGATTAGTTTGTTTGAAATACGGAATATAGAGTAAACCACACAAATTTTAGTGGTATTAAGTGTGTACTTAGTGGTGTGTGCATGTGTAAATAAGGTGTAAATAAGATGAACTTTCAGGATAAAATGGTATATCCACAAAAAAATTCAAATGAAAAACAACTGGGAGGGACGCAAGGAAATATATCCAATTTAAAAATAATAAAAATGGCAATTTTAAAGCAGGGAGCTTCTCACTCATGCCACACGATACGCTTTCATTAAGGTGTACTCCTTCCGGTTGGTGTGGGCAGCCCAGATGAAGAGAGCAGAAGCCATGACCTGTAAGGGAGCCGAGACACAAGCCAGGCAGAAGGACCATCCAAATTCACCGGTTACATTTTCAGGGAGCTCCAGTTTCTGGTGGAGTAGTTCAATTCCAGCAACGTAACAACTGACTGAGCCCAATGTACACAGACCTGGGGGGACATTTAGAGAGCGAAACATGGCTAGGTGAGAGCATAGTAAAGAGCTTTCAGGCAATATGACAAGGCAGTAATATGCAAATGTTTAAGAATTAAACTGTTAAAAAAAACATTTAACTGTTTGGCCACTAAGGAGATGAGAAGCTAAAAGGCAAGTATGCGGTGAGACCCACCTGCAAGGAGATGGAGAATGCCTGTGGCAATGGTGGGATACAAGCTTCGGCAGATACAGGCACAGAGTCCAATCAGAGCCCCAAAGCACATCAAACCTAGACTGACAAAAGGTAACAGGAACTGGCAACGCCACAGATCTGATTTTATAAAAGAGAGAGAATTGAAATGTTACCATGATTTCAGACCATTTTCCCACAATACCTACTTCTTTCATATTGTAACTAGATCTTTTCTCAAAAGTGAAAAAGAAGTCATTTAATTTCGAGGCCCCAACCAGCAAGGGTGTGCTGGTCAAGGCGCTGGACCACATGTGGCCAACTCTGCGGCTGAGTCCCAGACACAGGTGGCTTGCAAAACACACGGGGCTCGTGTGCATGCGTGCCCAAAATCCTGAGAGGAGAATGGAGGAGAAGGAACTGTGGTGTGGCCATCCCCTCTAGAGGGTGCTTTCTTCCTTTTTCTCTCTCTCTCTCTCCAGAAAGCACATGCACCTTATGGCAAAAATCTGAAAAACAAACAAAAATGTTGAGGCCCCTTTCCTAACATACAGTGCTGAAAGAGAGTTTACTGTCCTGATAAAAGTAAAAGGACACTAACGGTAACAACTGCTGAGGGCTTATTATAAGTGCCATACGATGTTATTGTGCACATACTTTGCATATAAATTCCCAGGATACCTTAAGAAACAGGCACTACCATTCGCTTCATACCTGAGGCAAGAGTCATAAATAGCATGTACAAGCTAGCACAGTAAGTGCAGAGCCAGGATATGATGCAAAAAACAGACAAATAATATCTAAGTCCTTACAGGATCTAAAGCAATAATAATAAGTAAATGAATGGAATTATAAATGACCTGTGGGGCAGAGGTGTTGATAGAATATACATAAAGGGTAGATTAGAAGATCTAGAATATACTAGGTGCTCAATAATGGCAAGTTTAATTCTCATAAATTCACTTACCAACATGGAAAACAAGTTGATAACCTTACAAAACATCCCATTCCATTTTTAGATCATTTTAATTACTGACCATGTATTATCAGCAATCTTAACCAAGTTCTACCTTCTGGAGCTGGTTTTACTTTCAGGAACTTCATAAAAGTCTTTTTTTAACTAACTTCCCTTCAAATTCTGCTAGTAATAAACTTCGCCCAGAGTTCTCTTGTTTCTCAGTTTAGTCAACATTTCCTCTCATCACACCTCTCATCATTTCCTCTCATTCTTCTGGGCAAGCTCTAATAAATCTCAATAGCCTTACAAACTGAAGCTCAAATTCTGATCAACAAGAAACTGAGGGACCAGAGGGGGACCAGCAGTTAGCGTAATGGCTATGTCGCTGGACTCCCACGTAGTCGACCGCGGATTGCGTCCCGGACCCGGTGGGTGCGTGTGCGTGCGTGCCCAAGATCCCAAGAGGAGAATGGAGAAGGGATTGCAGCGTGGCCATCCCCCCTGGAGGGTGATTTCTCACTTTCTGTCTCTCTGTCTCTCTTTCTGGTGAGCACATGCACTCTAAGGCAAAAACCTCTCCAAAAGAAAAGAAAAAAAAAAAAAAAACAAGAAATTGAATGTTAATAAGAAATATTTTTATGGGAGGGGAGCATCTGCACTTTTATCCTGAGTAAATTTCCTCTTAACTAAAGGGGCCCATTAGTAATACTTTGGGGAAAGTCTTGATATGCCTTCCCTGCCTCTCTCAAGTCCAAATCATTTGAAATTTGGTTAGTATGTACTACCACCTAAATATTGGGTATTTGGAAAAGTCATGACGAATTTTTGCAGAGAAAAATACATCACTTTTCTGACAAGTATGTCCTTACTTTTCCAATGATCCAATATGTTATCAACAGAACAGTTTGTTGAGAGACTATCAGAAATCTCAGTTCGCATCCACACTATCTAATCACTCATCTTGTTCCAAAAACAGAGTTCAACAAAAGAGGAAATGATTTCCTTTCCTCCACCCCAACTGCCCTGCTAAGATCAAAATACTCACAGGTCCGAAGTAGATCAATTCCACTGTTGTGGTTTCCGGGATCAACAAATTTCTCCATGAACTGCTCATTTAGTGTGAAACTCATGCATTTTGTAACAACATCAAATGACTCTAGAACAAGAACAATTGCTTATTGTTTTAATTATAAACATTTAACAATAATCTCTTTCAGTAGTTATTCTCTGAAGTGAAAAGCGATGTAGAAAGATGTTTCCAGGGGAGTCAGTAACCTCTTTGACACTGACTGACACACAGGTCTCTCATTAATGCCCAATGGATGCCAGTGGTTCTCTGTGGCAGGTTTAACACACAGGCACAATTAAGTTTTGTTTTGTTTTGTTTTAAATGAGAAACGAAGGGGAGGAGACAATGACTGAAATAATTGGCAATTTTGATATTTTCACCCAAATAATAAAGTGGTTCTTTCCAGCTCCTCAGAGTAGAAAATTTGGAGTCACGCTTGCCCATATACACTCCAGCAGAAAATCCAAGAGGTCCTTCCTCCAAAATACATCCAAACTCCAGCTGCTGCTCAGTGCCATGACCCTGGTCCGAGTCACAATCGCCTCACCTGAATTACCTGAACAGTCTCGTCACACACCTCCTAGCTTCTGCCCACTGCCTGCTGCCTGTCTGTTCTCAACACCTCGGCCAGGGGGACCACATCTCCTCACTGCTCAAAGCCCCTCAGTAGCTCTCCATTGTATTCACAATAAAAACGAAGTCCATGCCACACACTAGAGACTCCTGCATGATCTGCCTCACTCCACTTCCCCAGAGAGCATCTCTGATGGCACACTCTTCTCTCTCCCAGTCTCGCCCATCCTAGCCCAGTGCCTTCCTTGCTGGTCCCTGAATATTTCAGACATGTTCCTGCCGTTCTCTCCCAGTCTCGCCCATCCTAGCCCAGTGTCTTCCTTGCTGGTCCCTGAATATTTCAGGCTTGTTCCTGCCGCAGGGCTTCAGCAATAGCTGGTCTTTCAACCTAAACGATCCCTACCACCACCAGTTACCCCTGGTCATCTATTCTTTATGTAAGTGGTGCCTCCCAACGATGCCTATCCTGATGATCCTGTTGAGAATCATAACCTATACCCACCAATAGTCCCTTCCCCAATTATTTCCCATTCACTTAATTTTGGCTCTACGTTTTCATAGCACATGTCATCATCTAACATATTATATAATTACTTATTGTTTATATTTTTGTATTTATACTTATTTACTGTTTATTGCCAGTCACCTCTTATTAGACTACTACCTCCTCAAGAGTCAGAATTTTATTTGCTTTCTTCCCTGATGTTCACCAATCTACAAGGCCCTGGAACACAGAGGCACACAGTTAAACTTTGCTGAATGAATGTTAAGTTTCCAATATCAAATGTTCTTTGCACACCTAAGTAGAACTGAACATCTTACAAGTAACTTTAACCTATTTTCTCTCCTTTCTTTCCAAAACTACCTCCTCTTTTTCATATATTATGAGATACTATCATCCTTTTGCTCTACAGTAAACTGAAGCTAGTTCTATGATTTAAATAGAATGCTGCCCCAATGAGAGATGAACAGAAGCAGTCACAAATAAAAATGAACTATAAAGTTGCTCCTTACAAAGAGCTCTAAAGCTTCCATTTTAATAACTGGAAATTAAAATGTTTAAGTGTTAAATAAGAATGTTTGCAAAATAAACCTGAAAAACGACTTACATTTTATTTCTGTAATACAAAGTTTTAAACCTACAATCTCAGTATCAAGATTGTTGATTTTAATGTAGAGTTGAACTCAAATCATAACCACAAAGCTATCAGGAGCAAATAACAGCTAACACAGCTAACCCCTGAAAGGACAATCAACCGACATGTGTAACCTCCACCCTTTGTATCAGGATTATTGATTTAAATGTGGAAATTTACATTTAAGTGATAGGTGTCTACTATAATACAAGCTTACCCTTAAAAGGACAATCAAGTCATATTTCTTGACTAGATTTTTAGAAACGAATTCCTTTACCAATAACTAAATATCTAGCCTCCCAATATACTTTTCCAACTATTTCTTCATGACATGTATAAGATTACTAAAAAGTATTTTAATCAGTGGTACATAAGTACAAAGATTTAAAATGGTGTTTCCAAGATCAAGACAAACACTTAGCCATCTGTAATAAGGAGTACCATAGTAACGCACAGGTAGCAGGGACAGAAGGTGGTGGGGAGAGGAGAGACACACCAGATTTATGTCTTTGGAGAGGGAAGGAATACACAAAAGTAAATTATACATAAGTAATCATCAGGTCACTCTGTCTACTACTTAGTATAAGAGAAAGATAACCTAAAGGAAGAAGAATACCTGTTCTTTCTGGTGGGCTATACCAATGCGTGTTTTTGGGTATGGTGATACACCGTCGCCACAATCCCACTGTGCCGTTATATCGGAAAAGTGCATCATTATAAGTCTTTTCATCTGCCTCATCACTAATAAAGTCTTCCCAGAGGCTTTTGTTCAAATCACTGGAATTTTCTTGAACTGGACTTCGATATTCATACCAGAAGTCGGTGCCAATAGAGGCTGCCATGTAGATGGTAGAAATGAGGCTAAGCACACAAGCAATTACAAACGCTGTAGCAAAACGGTTATCCATTCTGGCATTCAGACTGCTCTGTTTAAAGATTAAAGAAAAAAAGAAAAGTTAGACTTCAAGGACTTTTTTAAAAGATTCTGAAAGGAATTATCTTGAAATCACCCCTTACCCTACTCCCCATCCCTTGGTTCTTTAAAGTTATAATCATTAAAAAAAAATGTTTTGTAAAGGCAAGCATGTTCTTAATTAAATTTGAAACAAAGCTCATACTTGTGAAAATACTTATTGAATGCTCACATACCCAGGATGCTACGGAGACAGAGGTCTTGTTCTCTAGTCTATCACCTGCATACTAAAACAGACAACACTGAAATGGACATACACATTACAGATAAAAACAACAGACATGCCCGTGATCAGCAGAGTTCCATGCACACATTTTTTAATCACAGATTGAATATTTACACAAGCTGCAGAGCATTAAGTGTCCTGGGTTGGAGTGTAAAAAAGATACAGGAAAAGGAAATCAGTTCTCCCCAGTTCCCTCTGAAGACTCCCAAACAAGGGCAAATATTAGGAGTTATTTGTTAGACAGAATTGAAGATGTTGGTTAACCCCGAGGGAGAGGTTGCTCTAGGTGTATGAAATAGGAAAGAGAACAATAACATGTAATAATGCTAGATACTAACCTTTTCCCTAACCCATTAAAGCTAAGCTTTAAGCTGCCGAATTCTTCATTTCTATCTACTCTTTCCATTCCTTACACTTCTGAACCTCCTCAACTGCAACCCTGTTCGGTCCCTAAATTCTAAAGTGCAATCTGTGTTCACAGAAACTAAGATTCCTCCTCGGCCAGATAGAAAACTCTGCGTTACGCAAAATATGAACACTCCCAAGGCGTGAACAGGACTCAACAGCAGTAGTAAATGGCCGCAGTAAAATGACTCAAGGCAGATCCCACTGAGTCAAATACTCCAAGTGCACTCGGTGACCGCGCTGAACACCTTACAAAGGTGCATAAAAACAGGCTTGCCAACCGCAGTTGCCGCGTTTGTAACACGGGGAGTGACTCAGGAACGACTGGGGCAATTACAATCATCAACGAACTCGAGAAGTTGGGGTTGGATTTGATTTGATTTTTTTGTTTTTGTTTTGAACATCTCTTTCATCCTGTCCTGAGGAATGACCTTAAAAAGGTCTCGGCACCCGAGCGATGGCTTGTCCGAGCAGGACGCCTGGCGCGGCCACCTCGTGGGCCACAGGACGAGGCTGCAGGAGGCCAAGGCGAGACCCGGCTGGGGCGGGGCAGCCTGCGTGGACCCCGACCAGGGGCTCCGGGACCTGACCAGGCCTTCGCAGACCGCTCCGCCCGCGGATCAGCCCCCCGCACCCCAGCCGTCAGAGCCCGCCCAGCCTCGGCGGCGCCTCGGGGAGGGGACCCTCTGCAAGACGCCGGAAGCGTCAGGCTGGTGCGACCCCCGCCCGCCGGGTCGGCCCCGCTCACTCACCGCCCATCGTCCTGCTCCGCCCGCT